TCCACTTTGTCTAAAAATAGTTGTTCCTGTTTGCTTTCAGACTCCCATTGCATGGAATATCTTTCCATCCTTTGATTTTTAATATATGAATGGATTGTGTCTGTTACATGCAGGATGTCACTGGATTTTATTTTTTAGATCCAGTGTACCAAATGAGTGTTGAGACCATCCACATTGAGAATTATGATGGAAAGATACTGCCTTATTCCTGTTATCACATTCTTTTCCTATTTCTGACTCCCTTTTACCCACTTCTGCTTACCTGCTTACCCTGCCTGGTGTATTCATTCTATTAGAGTTTTTGGCATTGTAGACTTTATTACCTCTGTTATCTCTAGGATAACCTTGAGAATTTTTTGGCGTGCTAGTTTGGTGGTTGTGAATTTCCTAAGATGGTCTTCGTCATGGAATGCAATGCCCTTATTTCTCATCAATTTTGAAAGATAGTTTTGCAGAACTCAGTAGTTTGGATTGAAAGTTGTTTTCTTTTAGGGCTTGAAACACTTCACTGGAAGCTGCCCTGGTGTTCAAGGTTTGTGCTGAGAAGCTGATTGGAATTCTAAATGCTTTCCTTTACTGGTGATTTGCTGCTTTTCCCTAATAGCTTCTAAGCTTCTGTCATTGTGCTGGACTTGTGGATTTTGAATATAATGTATCATGGAGTCCTTCTCTCACTGTGGTTGTCTGGGATTCCATATGCCTTTCTTCCTTGTGTGTTGAATTCTTTCCCCTTATTTGGAAAGTTTTCTGTTGTGATTTCTCTAAACAGGTTTTTAAAATTCCATGTGTGCCATTTTTGCCTCTTGTCTTAGGTTAGTCTTCCATGTGTCATCCAGCAGTTGGGATCAGTTTTCCTTGCTCTATTGTTGTCTTCAAGGCTGCTCTGAGTACCTGGTCAAATGCATCAGACCTGTCCTCCTGTTCTGACACTGTCCTCATACCACTTACTTCTGCTCTCAATGCCTTCAGCACAAGTCTTCATCTCTTGGACTTTTGTGTGGCACCATTTCATGCACTCTGATTCTTTGCTAAATTTATTTTTCATGTTTTCAATTGTTTTGGTTAGGTCTTCAATTTTTTATTTGAATCTTCTTTAAGCTCACTGATCAGCTTGTTTGTTAAGTCCACTGTCTGTTTAGTTATATCTTCGAGCTTGCCTAGTTTGTATCTCCTTTTGATCATTTTGCAAGATTCAGCCATTTGGTGTTTGGCACCCATGGATGGCCCTGGATCTGCTCTGGGGGAACTGGGAGGTTTTGAGGTGTTTCGTTGCCTTGTTTTCTCGTGTTTCTATTTGTGGTTGTTGTCGTTCTGGAGGTTGAGGATCAAGTAGACTGGAAAGACTCTGGATAGCATGGAGCTCCTTCCAGCTAGTGTTTGACTTTCAGGGATGTGATCTTGGCTTTCTTCACTTCTTGGTCTTAGCGACCTTCTTAACTTGCTAAGTGTAATAGGCTTGAACTCAGTCACTGTGATGCAAAGGGAGAATTTCTACAGGTATCACAATGTCAACAGCTCCAACTGCGTATCAGTCATGTACATCATTTTACCCTTTTATCAATGTCCCTGACAGACTGAACTAGAGTGTTATCAACAGCCAGCCTAGGAGGTGGAGAGAGGAGGGAAAGAAAAAGAAAGAGGAAAAGACAGAGAATGAGTCAGTAAGAAGAGAGGGAGAGAAATATCAATAGGTGAAAAAAAAGTTGGAGTTCAGATGCTACTGGAGTTAGTTTCACAGCTGAGGAGGGTAGTGCTGAGGGGGTTGAGAGAGACTTGGAGGGGAGGAGGGTGCACAGGGAGGGAAGAGGAGCTAGAGACAAGGAGCCTGGGAGGTGGTCAGGACCTGTTAATGTGTTGATAGTTAAAGTCTGGGTCCTCTAAGCAGTGTTGGGGGGCTCACCCTGATGTGCGCTGGGAAGTGTATTTCAGCTGCAGTGTCGGTTACTTTCACTGTCTCTCTCACACACACACAGGCACCTCCTCTGACACGCTGGATGCAACACGTAAAGGAGAGGAAAGACAAGGCCAACGAAGAGAGGAGGGAAGAAGAAAAGAGAAACGAGGGGGAGTAGAAGGCAGTGAAAAAGGAAAAAATAGAGGAAAGAAAAATGAAAAGTAAAACAAGAAAAAATAATTAAAAAGCAGCAATAACTAAAATCGAATGAACCTGTGACCAAACAACAGCCCTGGCAGCGGGAAGCACACAAAGGGGTGCTGCTGCAGTCCCGTCTGCGCAGCAGTGAGGCCAGCTGCAGGTCTCCGAGCCCCACTCCCGTGGTTTGCTTAGCGGCTGCCTGCGAGCCGGCAGGAGGCTGCCCGTTCAGCTACCTCTCTGTGCCAGCCCCTGGCTGCGAGCCGTGTCTGTCCCCAGGCCCGATGACCTCATTACTTAGGGGAGGGCAGGATGTGGTGCCACTGGCCCGCACTGGGGCCTCTCACTCCTGCTCCTCTCTGCAGGGCGTGCCCCATCACCTCTGGCTTTTCTTCACAAGCCTCTTGCCTTGAACATCACTGCCCCATGCCCTCCGAGCTGAGCGCCTCTCTCCGTCCCTCCCCTGCCTTTCTAACCTGTGAACCTGCTGCCCCCCAGGGTGCCTTACCTTCTGCAGGCCCTAGCAGGGGGTCAGGATCCCTGTGTGCACCTGCCCATGGGCGTGGGCAGCACCGGGGATGTTCTGTGAGTGCAGCAGGCAGCGTACGGGGGAGGAGTAGGTGGCTGGCTACTCCTGGCTTGGTCTCGCTTCTCCCTCCCCAGGGTCCTGCGCCCCATGCTGCTTCTTGAACCATAACAGCCCCAAACTGCGGCCCTCAGAGTGCTCAGGCTTGGCCCCCAGAGAGAGCAGCCGCCAGCACCGTCTCCTTCACCGCTGTCCAGTGCTCAGCTTCTCTGAGCCGGGCTGGTGAGTGTCTGCTCACAGTAAGCCCCGCTGGGGAAGTGGATCGGAAGCCTGCTCCACAGGCCAGATGCCGCCCTGGCCCATGAGGGTGTCCCGGCATGGGGGGTAAGGGGTGCCCCAGCCCAGAGCACTAGCTCCCCTCCTGAGACCCTGGGCTCTGTCTGCTTTCCCTCTCATATCTGGCTGTCTCTGGAGCCTCCTGGGGGCCGCTCCTCCCAGTGTGGCTCAGTCTCCTCGAGTGGCAGGATCATCCCCTGCTGTTCTTGGTGATGCACCCAGCACCCGGAGCCTCATGCCCGAGCATGGCTTCCACCACGCAGAGGGACGCAGTGAGCGTAGCACCTCTTGTTTTTTGTGGTAGGAGGTACGGCATAGTCCCTTTCCTGTTGCTTAGAACACAGTACCATCGACTGGGTCAAGAGTAGAGAAAAGAGGTTGATTTTTCTCCTAGTTCTGGAAATGCAAGGCTGAGGGCAGTGGCGCAGAGCCTGTGGCCCATGTTTGTCACTGCTGAAAGTTCTGGAAGGTTCGCCATCGCTGGCCTGGGGACTGCAGAGGGCAATGGCCTTGTGGGGCAGGGGGCAGTCCCCAGGGAGGAGGGCAGCATCATGCAGCAGGAGACAGGGAGTGTGCATGTGTCTCCTGGGGTTCCTTCTCTGTGCTTATAGAACCACTGAGGTTCCATCTGGGGCTTGACCCTAACCCTTGTCACCTCTCAGAGATTTCCCTGTCTTGGTTACTTTTCTCTCGTTGCTGAGACAAAATACCCAATGCCCAAAATGAAGGAAGGAAAGGTTTATTTAGCTTACAGTTTGTGGAGGTTTCAGTCCATACTTGGCTGGCTCCGAGGCAGAAGGTAGCAAAGCAACAAGAGCCAAGGGGGGTATGGCAGCCGAACAGCAAACAGCCAGAGCAAACCGGAGGAATGACTGCAAGCAGCTTTTTTTTGATGATCCACGGTCCTGGCTTTTCTAAACTTCTGAGGTCTCCAGGGCACCTTTTGCTTCACACTCACAGCCTCACACACTGCCCTCTCAGGGGCACTCTGCCTGGCCTCCCAGGCCTTCTGAAATCTGGGTGGAAGCCTCTTTAAACCTCAGAACTCTTGCATTCTCCATGCACCTAAATCCAGGGCCACGCGGATGATGCCAAGGTCTGCTGCCACCTGCAGCAGTAGCCAAGTTTTCCTCTCTCTTGGCCACAGGGGTAGAGTGCCTGGATCGCTGGGCACTCTGAATCGAATTCTGAGGAGCAGATTTTTTATGCTGCCACCATTCTGGAGCCTGGTGCGGCTGCGGCCGCCATTCTGGAGCATGGTGCTCTGAGGCTTCCTTCTCAAGGCACGGTCTGTCACCTTTGCAGTTCTGAGGCTGCAAAGGGTGGGGACTTGCTGCTTCCTGTGATGCCCCCAGGCCATCTTTTCTATTCTCCTGTTCCTTTTTAGCAATAGAGATCTCCTCAGCCTTATCTTTGCAGTCCACAGCATTACTGGAGCTTCCTTTCTGGCCAAACTCACATTTTAAATTATCCTGCTGGGCTCTTTGCTCTTGATTTTCAATATAAATCTGGCTAAAAGCCCCCAACAATAGCCATGCCACTGTCCCAACATTCGACTGCCTTGAAATTTCTTTTGCCAGATTAATCAGTCCACTGCCACCCTTAATCTCAGTCATAGGCAAAGTCTCTGGACACGAACAAAATTTAGACAAACTTTCTGCCAAGCCATAACACACATCGTCTGGAGTCCAACGACCAATGCAGTCCTTCTTCCCAGCAGAAACCTCCTGAACCTGGTCTTTACCGGCAGGATTTCTGTCAGCCTTCTGGGCTTCTGAGCTCTGATCAGAATCTCCCAGACAGAACAGTCGAAGCTGTTCTAGCGCTTCTCTTTCAGGCGACATCTCTGAACCTTTCCAAACACTTCCCACAAGCCATTTGCAAAGGCTGTTGAACCACATGGTCAGATATAGTCACAGCAACGACCCCACTCCTCTGGTACCAAATTCTGTCTTGGTTACTCCCCTTCAACAGCAGGGCAGATGCAGTTTCCGCCCGGTAGGAACCCACGTGGAGATCAAGCTGCAACCCGCAGGGCCTTAGAGAATGAGAGGAGGGCAGCGACTTGCTTACCTGCGGGAACCCCTGACGGCGCACTGGAGGTCTAGGCACCTCCGGAACTTGAGGAACTGCAGTGACGATTTTCCCACATCGCACCCACCGGTTAGCCGGTTCCGATGGAGGAATCTAAGGTACCAACTTCTTGTTCGTCTCCCCTCAGCTCCCCGTCTTTGGCGTGGTGGGCCAGATGTCTGCCCATGAGATCACGGCCGGAAGTGGGAGTTCCCATGGCACAGATCCGAAGGCACAGACCCGAAGGCGCAGACAGCCGGCCTCGTCACACACACTGCTGCTCCGGGCGCGCACTGGCGCGGATAGAGCGCGCAGGCAGGGCGCGGTGGCGTTGGTGCGTTTGGTGAAGATGGCTTGGTGGGCACAGCGGTGCCTGGATATCCTCTGAGATCCATCTGCCTTCCGGATAGGCCGAGCCACCGGGTAAACGAGGATAGGATGGGATCATCGGGCCTACAGTGACCTGCACCTGGGTGAACGCCACTCACATCCCGGCTGCCAAAGTCCCTGCTTTGATTGGCGGCCCCAGTGGTACACTGGGCCCTCAGCAATTAGCTTGGTTGCAGAGACTGTCTAGCCAGCCCCGAAACGTCCTGGTACCTCCTCCTCCTAGAGCCAGGTCACTGGCAAAGCCACCTTGGGTTCCCTTGGGGAGCCCGGCGTGAGAATTTGGACACAGATTTCCGGTAGCGCTGCAGGGTCCCCCAGGTCCACCCCTGCCTGTAGCTGGCTTAGGACGGAAACTGGGTGCAGAGATGGTTTTATTTTGAGGGCTCAAGTCAGGTTCCTGGTGACAGAACTACAGCTCTGCCTGCCAGCGCATCAGGGACATCTCAGAAGTGGGCCCTCTGCATAATTCCTAGGGCCACCAAGGCCGGTCGATGCCAGACACCGAGGCCTTGAGTTCTGCTCTGCGTCTGCCGCCCGTTGGATTAGATGCGTCCATCCTGTGACCGGCGACTCCTGCTCCTCCAGGTCCTCGGCTGCGGAAGTGGTGGCCAGCCCAAGGGGTCTGTGTCCCCCCCGGTCTGTGGACGTGACCGTGTTCACGACGTCCTGTGTCGGCGGCCAGGGCCCCGCAGGGCTCATTCCCCGACCCAGCGCGGGTCAGGTCGCTGTGCAGTCCCGGGCCTTCGGGGAGTTGCCTTATCCCATCAAAGGTGTGAGCTCCGTTCTCGGCTCGTCGCGTCACTCGGAACCCACCTCTCGCTCGGCTCTTCCCAGCCGCACCGCCCAGCGCGGGACCCAGGGCGCGGCTCTGCGGCTGGGGGGCCCCGGGCCCCTACAGGCACTTTCCACCGGGAGTCCTCTGAGAATACGCGGGCGCCGTGCTGACGATTCCAAACGTGGGCCAGTGGGTGACACTGCCGCCTTCGCTTCGGGAGCTGGAGGGGGCCACGAGCGTGGCTGGGGGGCCGTGCCCGCAGCCACCAGCGCAGGCTCGCGCGCTCCGGGGGAGACTCGGCCGCCCCCGACAGCCGGGCCAGGTCCTTCGGCGCCCAGGCGGCTGCCTCGGTTCCCC